TTGAGGTTACTGTAGAGTTTGGACTGTAAGACTAATTAATTTTGATTGCTTCTATCATAAAAACATCTAGGAATTCATCATGGTCATCAACGGCACTTGCATGCTGAGGAAGACGGCCTCGCATTAAGCACAACCAAAGCCCAGTGAAGTCACTGGGACTCTATCCATCAATTTTCAAAGATCTGAGCTGGTCTCACTGCTTTTTAATATTTCCATCCTCCTCCCACACTCATCGGAAGCAGCAGGACCTTCAGAGAGGTGTAGCCAACCTTCTCTGAGTCAAAAGTGTCAGCATGACACCAGACACTGAAATAACAGCTATTCTCTAGAGTTAGACACTCTTTTAATAAATAGTTAACAGGTTTTATTAAAGATGTGAACACAGAGGAAAATAAGAAGACAATCCCTTCCTAACCTCTCCAGGGAATAGATAACAATAAACAATAAACAATAAACAATAAACAATAAACCAATAAACCAATAAACCAATAAACAATAAACAAAGCTCAGTCATATGCTTTTTAAAAAACACTTTTCAATAATTTGCTTGTAATTTTCAAAAATTGTTTATAATGTACATGCATGGCAGAAGTATCATGATGCTCGTCAGCGCTGTAAATGGCTCAACATCAGGGTCAGTTACTACCTGAGCTCGTCACAGGACTTCACTTCACTTTGCTGCCTCTCTTGCTCCACATTATAAATTCAGGGATAATGGTTAACTACTTCATGAGTGTTGCAAAGCTTAACTGGTTAATGTTTGTTGAGGACTCTCAAAGATCTAGAATTTGTTTTCAGTTATAAAGGTGTAACAACCTTTAAGAAAACCAAGGATATACATAAGAGGAAAGATTTCTTGGATATAAGTTATGGGCAGAAATGGGCTTCAAGAAAGAGCTGAGAGGGTACAGTGGCCTAGTGGAACCAGCTTGGCCAGAGCCCCAGTACAAGAATTGTACCTATAGCTTTTCAATGCTATTATAGCAGTGTATGAGCTGTCAAAATAGTCTTCAGGATGAGAACCTTACTGATGCCTTAGTACACCTAAATCAAAAGTAGGGAAAAAGAGAATTGTTTCTCAGAAGCACTCAGCGGAGTAAGTCGTCCTCTATGTTTACAGCACCAAGTCATTTGCAATTCTATCACATTGAACTAAAAAATCAACAGCTCTTGAACCAACAGCTTTGCAAGGGGAACCGGCAAGCACTTTATCCTACAGACAAGGTATAGAGATTTTGCAAGAGGAGTCAAGAAAGTGCACAAAGCCTTTTGTTTTCACCAAGAGCATGAAAAGTTTGCTGATAGCACCAGACAAGGGGAATGGCTGCCCATTCTGTTCCACTTACATGGTCTATCACTTTTTCCTTTCTTCTCTGATTTCCTACCCTTTCCTGCCCCATCTCCAGTTCTGACCCTTCTCTTCATGTCCTCACTGCACCCCATCCCACTCAGCCATCCCTCTCCCATCACACTCACTCTCAGGCCCTGTGGTCCTACTCCATCTCTTTGATTTGCTGCCTCCCACAGGCCAGGTCATTACCAAGCAAGGCAGATCAGCAGATGTCAGCTACTAGCATGCCTCAGCAGCTCATCTCTGGATTTCAGATATAAAAAACTGTAACAAGGAGTGATGTGCCTGAGATGTTTGCTGTGGCTGCAGTGGGATATGACCCCACACATCTGCCAAGCCTGAAGTGCCATGGGCCACAGTCCCTCCAGTTCTGAGCAAAATGACACTGATTTACATTAGTGTAAATTAGTGTAAACCTTGTCTTGTTTTCTTTTGAACACTTGACTGGTTCTTAAAAAAGGAGGCATCTTCAACTCGTAGTGACACAATGAGTGATGAGCCTACTTATTTCTTAATGTTAGCACAACAGATAAGATTCAGTTCTGCTTTAGGGGTGAGGATGAGGCTTGGGGATGGGGAGAAAGGTGCAACATGAGTGTCAATAGTCTTCTTGGGAGGGAAGAAGATTGCCTCCAACGTTTCACAGACACGATATTCTCTCCCTTCCCCCACCTCTGTGAATGCTAAAGAAAACAAACTCTAAGAGATTTTTAATAAAAAGCCAAATGTATGTTAGAAGTTAACTTGTGAAATCAATGGAAAAAAATGCTTCCATGAAGCACTATCTTTTGAAAGTAAAGTGTCACAAATGATGCAAGTGACAAATGTAGCTTGTGACAAATGCATCACTGCTTCCCAAAAGAGTAACTTGTGACCAGCAAAGAAGTATGCTATTGCTTATGTAAGCCAATTTGGAAAAGAAAACTACATGTCTTCTTGCATATCTTCACTGAAACCATTCATGGAAAACCTATGAGAATGAAAGTAGCTATGATCCAGATGACCTGGAGCACATACGTCTGTGCTTTTCTGGATCAGGCCCCAGAAAGACAAGTCTTTTGTTTTCCCTATCAACAAAAAAAAAACCCATTACAAATCATACAATACAATATCAAACTCTATGTTATTCCAAAATGACAGTCAATTAAGTAGAAACAAACTGTATCTTCAGAAGGGCAAATGAGAGAGGCTAGGGATCACTATCAAAGGACTTCTGCTTGCTTTTGTTTATTAAACAGCAACTGTATTATTTACTGCAGCTTTGCAAGCTAGTGAGCAGCTGGGTGTAACACATTTCCATGCTGTGTAACCTCTCCTTATGCTTCGTTAGATTCCTTATCAGGACCAGAAGAAAAGAAATCTCTCTGTTATGCTTTTCCTGTGGCAAAGGAAAAGACAAGATGATGACTTTCCAGCTCATTTCACTTGTACAACGTTCTCATCAATCACCATGGGGTAGGTCTTTGTTATTTTCACTGAAGGACTGTTCTTAGTTTTCTGTCACAATAAAGCGTGACTCCAGTAACGAGCAAATCAAGGTTACCTCCACCACATTTGCAAAAGAACAAAATGCAAACATAAGGCTAAAGCTGCTTCTGAAATATTTTCCAAGGCCTCAGTTTCACAGACATAAACCTAAGTTGAATGAGGTCTAAATTCTTTTCATTGAAATGAAGGTTAAAGTTTGGGACACTCAGAGCAGTTGAGGTAAGGAAGCTAAACTAACCATTTCATCAAGAACCAAAAGTTTTCTGCTTGTTTTGCGACTTTCTGCTCCAGAAACCAAGCAAAGAAACTGTGGTTTACTTTTATTTTAAACTCTCTGTCAAGTATGCATCTCTGCAGTTTTGGTTCACTATAGCCCACGCAGCTTGGCCTCTCTTCTCCTTTTCC